GCGTGGCCTATGTGTCTGTCAGACTTAGTGAAGGAGGCGTGGCCTATGTGTCTGTGAGTCTTAGTGAAGGAGGCGTGGCCTATGAGTCTGTGAGCTTAGTGAAGGAGGCGTGGCCTATGTGTCTGTGAGTCTTAGTGAAGGAGGCGTGGCCTATGAGTCTGTGAGCTTAGTGAAGGAGGCGTGGCCTATGTGTCTGTGAGCTTAGTGAAGGAGGCATGGCCTATGTGTCTGTGAGTCTTAGTGAAGGAGGCGTGGCCTATGAGTCTGTGAGCTTAGTGAAGGAGGCGTGGCCTATGTGTCTGTGAGTCTTAGTGAAGGAGGCGTGGCCTGTGTGTCTGTCAGACTTAGTGAAGGAGGCGTGGCCTGTGTGTGCATGAGTCTCAGTGAAGGAGGCGTGGCCTATGTGTCTGAGAGCCTTATTGAAGGAGGTGTGGCCTCCCACTTCAGAGCAAAAATTGAAAAAATTGAACAGTTTCTTTCTTTTTTATTTCTTTTTCTTTCCTTTTTTAAAAATTTTTTTTTCTTTCTTTCTTTCTTTCTTTCTTTCTTTCTTTCCTTCTCTCTCTGTCTCTCTTTCTGACTCTTCCTTCCTGAGTGACTGCGTCTCTGTAATCTGCAGGGTGGTCGACTCGGAGGAATGTTGAAAGGAGGAAAATATAAACATAAAGAAAATTACTCGCTATCTCTGCCATCTCACTCTCTCTCTCTTTCCCTCTCTCTTTCCCTCTCCTGTCCCCTCAGATGCCTTCACTTGTTAACAGTCTTTCACTTTCTCTACCATCGTTTGTTCCATCGCTCATTTCGGAAAATCCTTCAAATCCCCCTCTGATGAGCTCCAGCTTCACTCTTCCTCCCCTCCTGAAGTTTCAATAAAAAAATATGTTTTCATTATTAGACTCGCTCGAGTCCAAAATCGTAAGACCTCATTTCATCGCTGCACGTCTCGGTGTCCTCGCTGAACTGTACGGAGAGAGGGGTTTAATTGAACGCACCCGTTGCTTGGCCCGAGTTCATGCCTGCTAGTGTGGGAACATGACCTACATAATGCTTGGGATTGGTTGCAGATGCAGTGTGATGGAAGTTTGGAGGGAATTTCACATTGAATCAGCAAAAAAAACAGACGTTTCTCTGAGGCTTCTGTTGCATAACAGTCTTCAGATCCTCGTACAGACACAATGTTCACAATGAAACCTGAAAAAAAATCAAAGTATGCATGTTTGTTCCACAGATACGTTGGGTTTTCTGTTGCTTTGGAATCACCTGCGCAGGTCACAGCATGGAGTCCGACCTAAAACATCAAGAAGAGAAAAAAAACAAGACCTCAAAGCGTAAAAACATCACAGTGTTCTCCGAGAGCGTGACTCAGTGGAGCCGTTCGCTTTTCCAGCTGCTCTGTTTTCCAGGAGAGTTGCCATCCAGCTGAACCTTTTCCATTTCCATTGCTTAACCTTAGCGCAAATTAATAAACAGGTTTAAGGTGCAAACTTGGTTGCGCTCTTACAGAACAGCGCTCTAAAGAATAGTTTAACACGGTTTCAGTTCCTCGCCTACCAGTGCTTATGCTGTTATCCTGTGCTAAAGAATGCTAACTTTATCCCTTTCCTCCTAGCATTTGATTTGTGGGTTGTTCATGTTAGCATGTGTGAATGAAAGATATATCTAAAGGGCAAATATGATGAGATTTATGTGGTTTTATAATTTAAAATGAGCTTTAATTTAAACTAATGCTATAACAATGCTAACGGTAACGAGACAGTTGCCACAGTGCCAGAGCAATCATGCTAATCATGAACTCTACCTTTGAATAATATAAAAATGGTAAGTCTCAGTTCTCTCAATCTTTAAAGCAGAGTAGGAAATGGCACACATTTATAATGCGAAATCTGCAAAACAGCACTTAGAAATGCTAACGCTGCTAAAAATGTGTCGCCAGTTGAGAGCCTGTGGCTACTAGTGAAAATTAAAGCTGAGTTCTGGATGCTGATTGGTCAGAAAGTGCTGATTAGTTTTCTATAACAGCAGCTCTGACAGTAGCGCAGGTTTATATTAATGCTCTCGTTCGATATTATCGCGTTATCGTTTCTATAGCAACAGCTCATTCACAGCGACGTGTACAGCAGAGGGAACGACTGTATCATCTTACCACGTCATCTACACCCTCTCGTTAAATAAATATAGAGCTGTTAGGAAGAAAAATAAAGTTGGAAGGAAGTAGCAGAGATCGTTGGTGTCGCTGGTGAGCGTACGTAGCTAGTACAGTTAGCTAACCTTGCTAATCTCATCTGAGAATGAAGCTAGTAGGAAGCCGAGCGTGTAACATGTAAATCAGCTGCTTTTCACGCTGATTAGTGCTCTATTTAAGGTGTGTTTAATTAGTTAGCTTTAGATGCTATATATTCTGTGTATATCTAAACATTTGAGTTTGCTTTGCTATTCCGATCAGTCCAATAAAATCCAATAAAGTCCGTGTCTTTCAACAGCAACAGTGAGGAACGCTGTCCGTCACCCGGCTCTTTTTCCTGTCCTGCGGTTGTA